AAATATATATATATATATTTCAGTTGGAATATATATATATGTTTTTTTCCAGTGCTAGGTAGAATCTCCATATTGGGTTCCTGCCTTTTGGATTAAAGACCATTGTGACTGAAAGGACCAAATGGTTTCTCTCCTCTTTACCCCTACTCTTCTGGTCCAGCCCTCTTTCTCTCTCTTTCTCTCTCCCTGTCTCTCTCCCACCCTCTCTCTCTCTCTTCTGCATATGCCCAATAACCAGTCTCACTGACTCCCTTCACAATTCCCTCAATCCATCCTCCATATACACAACAAATCTTGTCATGTCACCCTCTTCCTTAAATCCCCCTTAAATCCCCTCCTCTCTCACCTCGAAGGTCTTCAGGATAAAGTTCACATTCCTTGTCCTAGACACAAGGCGCTTCACGGTCTGGTTTCTCTAAGCTCATCTCCTTCCACTGATCCTGAAGGTCCCTCAGGTGGGCCTAGCCTGCAGTCCATAGGCCCCATGTACCCTAACAGCTGGTAACATGGCTCCACGAGATCACAAATTTTTAACATTACTGTGTGATTTTTAAGTGATACTTTTTCATGACCTGATTGCACAGTGCTCCAGCACAGAATGTGTAGGTGACAACAGAAGGCTGTGAAGGGGAGGGCACAATGCTAACTCTGCCTTCTGTGCCCGCCACACACACTCAGTGGATTCAAAACTTGTGCACTTTAGACGTTCTGTGCAACTTGGCAAGGAAAACTCAGTGATTCCCATTAGGAGTATTTCAACCTCCTTACACGTGTATACCTATGAAGACTGGAATCTGTTGTTAAGCAGACATTTTTTTCATTAATTATTAAACTTGGGCTTGCTTTATTCCATAAAATAATTTAAGATAATCATTAAAAACTAGAAGAAGTGTTTTTACTTATGTACATTAACTCTATTATATATTTTATATGTGGCCCAAGATGATTCCTCTTTGCTTAGTGAGGCTGAGGCAATACAAAAGATTGTGTACATTAACACACACAAACACCAGTCACCCCACAGGTGTCCCTTTCTGCCTCCTCACCTGGGCCCCTGTCTTCTCATTCTTGAGACTCAACTCCTCACCCCCTCCCAGAGGTTTCCCCTGACCCTCAAGAGTACAGCTGACCAACACTCTAGTTCATTGACTCGGAACTTAGCTCTAAGTCTGCATCGCACTGCCACGCATCAGAGGCAAATATCCTCATCATAGCCCCCTTCCCTGCATTACATGTTTAGTATGTCAAGGTTCTACCACAAGACCAAACTATACTTATCAGTGTGCCTGGTACAGAAGGAGCACTTAAGTTTTGTTGTTGTTTTTTAAAATTCTTTTATTGGTACATTTTAGGTATGCAATACGTTTACATTCATCATTGGGTGCTTGTACCTGTACATGATGTATCTTGGTTCTTATTTTTTTCCCCATTACCTGTGTGCCCTTCACCCCCTCCACCCTTCCCTATTTACATAGATTTCATTTCCATTTGTTTTCTTTTCTCATAATTTTTCCTTT